GATGCACCTCGGAGGGGAAGGGGCTGAGTCAAAGCAGGACCCATGAGCGGGGCTGGGTTCATATCGTGCTGTGAGTCAATGCGGCGGCAGGAAGTGAGAGCACGATTCTGCTCACGCTCCGCCTGCTGTGGGCCCCAAACCAGCCCCAAAACACCCCCAAACCAACCCCAAAACACCCCCAAACCCCTCACCTGTCTGGTTGAGTCCCGTGGGGCCGATCCATTGGCGCTGCTTCTTTCTGGACACTGGAAGGCAGAGGCAGGCGGTGAGATGAGGGACATCCCCATGGACCTGGTGCCGCTTCCTCCCCCCGCTGGCCCCATATGTCATCCTGAGTAATCTCCTCCTCCTGGTAATCCCCCCCCGAGACCCTCTGTCTGCTCTATTGTGTGTGCTCAGTGCTTAATCCCCCCCTGCCACCCCTTTGTCTGTGCCCACACCATGTGGGGCAGGCTCAGGGACAATGGGGATCTGTGTGGAGCATCTCCCAAAGCTCCTCAAGGAGACGGCAGGGATGGATGCATGGAGCTGCTGCACGGTGATGATGGAGGAGGAAGGCAGTGGGAGAGGAGGAAAAGGAAGAGGGGTTCTGGAGCTTGCCACCTACTTCTCTTCATCAGCCTCCTATAAGCAGGAGGACCACAGATGAGCAAGAGGATGCCGAAGAGCAGCAGGGCCAGGCAGATGCTCACGATGGTACCTGCGGCCGTGCCGGTGGGATGTGGCTTCGAGTCCTGACCTGGGGAGAAGACAAATCCCACTATTTGAGCCCCTTGTCTCTATGTGGGGAGCCTGAACACCCAGCACCCTGCTGGGGGGCTTTCCCCATCCCCTGCCCCATGCTCTGCCCATTCCCCCTGTGTTCACCCGTAGAACTCAGCATCACCCAGTGGCTTACACACGACTCGGATCCTGGAGCAGCTCTGGGTGCGCGTGATGGGGCAGAGGTGCAGGTTGGGGACCCCACAAGTGACCCCCGTGGACGGGGGGTCCCGGATTTCGGTGCTGGAGGAGAGGTTCCCACAGCGCAGCTCCTGGCACAGCTCCCTGCCCCACTGTGTGTTCACCCGTAGAACTCAGCATCACCCAGTGGCTTACACACGACTCGGATCCTGGAGCAGCTCTGGGTGCGCGTGATGGGGCAGAGGTGCAGGTTGGGGACCCCACAAGTGACCCCCGTGGACGGGGGGTCCCGGATTTCGGTGCTGGAGGAGAGGTTCCCACAGCGCAGCTCCTGGCACAGCTCCCTGCCCCACTGCGCCCGCAGGGTCCTGTTGTCGCACAGCCCCCCCTGCCACTGGCCCTCGTGGAAGACCTCGATGTCCCCTTCGCATGGTGTGGGGCCGGATGCCAGCCTCCGCAGGGCCCGGGGCTGGGAGCCTGGGGGGAAAAAGAGGGGTCAGACCCATGGTGAGACACTGGTACCGGCTGACAGGGCTTGGATCCCGTCAGCGTGTGCTCCCCCATCCCCTGGGGTTGGCTCCTGGCATCTCTGCTTCCCCTTGTGCCGCCGGGATAATGCATTGAGGAGCTCGGAGCTGTCGCCATGGCTCTGCCAGCTGCTGTGGTTCATCTCTGAATCCCACAGGAGGGATTCTGAGCGCGGGCAGATGGTGGGAATGTTTTAGGAAGGAATTCTTCCCTGGGAGGGTGCTGAGGCGCTGGCACAGGGTGCCCAGAGAAGCTGTGGCTGCCCCATCCCTGGCACTGTTCAAGGCCAGGTTGGACACAGGGGCTTGGAGCAACCTGCTCTAGTGGAAGGTGTCCCTGCCCGGGGCAGTGGTTGGAGCTGGAGGAGCTTTAAGGTCCCTTCCAACCCAACCCATTCCATGATCTGGAGTGAGCCCACTCGCAGCTCTCCATGCCACGGCACCGGCACCAAGCAGCTCCACAGGGATATCATAGACTCATAGAATGGTTTGTGTTGAAAAGAACCTTAAGATCATCCCCTTCCAACCCCTGCC